TCGCAAATTTGGACATCTTCTGAGTGCGGACATGCTCCGGAACGCTGAACTTATCCTTGGCCGTGAAAAACAGGTTGCCGGGGATCTGTTTGAAGTCGGCCTTCACATATGTTTCGTCGTCCATGATGCAGCATTCAACTTTCGTCAGCATGTTGAGGTACAACTTCCTGGCACGGGTTTTGGCGGACTTGTTCTGCTTCTCGTCGCGATTAGGGGCCTTTTGTACCTTGAACGTTCGAAGCCCAGCCTTAGTTTTGGCCTTCTGGACAAAACTTCGGCTTAGGTGCAGCTTCTTAGCCACATCCCTAACGGAGGCGTTCGGCTTTCGGTTGAAGGCCCCAACTACGCGGTTGTGATTTTTGGTGTTGTACGGAATACTTTTTCCTTCACTTCTGAGCTTCCGATCGGTGGTCAACCGTTCCTCGAACCGCTTAATCACTCGCGACACCGTGGAATTCGCGATTCCCAACGTTTTAGCGATGGAACGATGCGAGAGATCCTTGTTCTCGTGATGAATGCGCAAGATTTTATCACGCACGAGCTGTTCTTTCGACTCCATTTCCGCGAGTTTTGATCACAGGACTTTAAAACTTGCAGGATGTAAATAATGCACTATGAACTAAATCCACCCAAATTTTCATTAAATTCTACCCAACGGTTAAAAAGTTAGAGCAATTTCATAGTGTGGCAATTTCATCGTGGACACCCTTTACTCAAACGTCAATTGATAGCATGCTTATGCATGTTGTATTAGTTTTCCAGCGCCGATATATAAAGAAATGAATTTTTGAACCTGAAAACTCAGCGGTGATTTTTGCGACGTTCCATTTTGGCTGGCAAAACTCATAGGCGCATAAACTCATGCATGAGATTTGAGAGTTTGAGTTTTTCCGAACACTGCACAACACTATAACTTTTGTATTAAATAAGATGGTGGGACCATCAGCAAAGGGGGGTCACCGTCATTATTTATTCACGGTGGGTCATGATCATCATTGTGAGTCAAATGATATTGAAGTGTTTGATCAGATGGTAACTCAGTTGTATTTCTTCTGCGTGTTGTTGACTTTTTAATTGTGTGTAACAGACCTGCATATGTGCTGTTAATCTCTTGTACATCTATACGGTGGTTGACTGTGTTAGATGTGTGTGCTATGCGACACATATCTAATATTGGTAATGTTGATATCTTGTTTGTTTTGTCCAGAATTTTTGGTTTTGTTAGGTTGAACATATGGGATTCTTCGATGATGTGCTTGATCATGTGGCTGTTTTTTCCCCAAGGCTATGTATCTCTTCATCTGTGTTCGTGTGATTGTTTTGGATCAGTTTTGTGTATTGGTTTATATTGCTTCGATGTCTACTGATTCTTGTTTTGAGTTGGTTTCTCGTCATCCCAATGTACGTTTTCTGGCAGTCTATACAGACTAAGCTATAGATAACGTTACATTGGTCGAGATCATTAATTGGATCTTTGACCGGTCTAAGTATGTTTTTCGTGTTGTTTAGTGTTCTGTAGGCGACTTTTACTTGTGGGTAATCATTCTTGCGGAGGCTGGCTATTGTGGGGCAGAGATGAGCGATGTACGGGATGCTTCTGAACTGTAGATGGTGTTGCTGGTTTGCTGCTGGATTTTCATCAGACGGTGTTACTGTTGGATTGTTTGTTTGGTTTTGCTGTGAAAAAATCTGGTGGTGGTGTTGATGTTGTGGTGTAGTTGATTTTGCTCGACTTATCATTCTGTTAATAAGCGATGATGGATAGTTGTTCCGAGGTAGTTGGTGAAAAATTATGTTCTATTGTTGTTGATGATTTTGGTTAGAGATGTGACTCGTTTTACGAAATTATCAGCGACATTTATCTTCATGCTAGTGGGGTGAAACGAGTGGTAGTTCAGTAGCCGCCCTGATGAGATTGGCTTTGAATACCACTGTAGGAGGATTTCCATTACCAATTCTGCCAGAATTAATCGTTTCTACAAAAAGACTGAGAAAGCCACCCCATAAAGGAATATAGAAAATATTTTGCGGCACCAGCAGCAGTTCCAGCGTATTTCTGTTTCCGAGTTAAATAAGAAGGAGGATGAACCCAAGCAACCAAAAGATCCGCATTTCACAATAAAATCCACTATCAAGTTCCATAGAGTACTTGTCACATAATCTGTGGAACATCTTAGCAACTTTAAAGTTTCTCTAAAGGTCCACCGAAGCCAACATGAAATGATCCGCACAAGTCTTTATTTGTAACAGTATTTCATGTACGTAAATATGAAAGCATTAGTGGCCCAAATAAGTCATAATTCTTATATCTATTCAGCATTTCCTGGATCAGAACTTGAGTATCTCGTGTTTCTATTGTAAAACTAGTAGGTTCTTTTGTTTTTTTTTTCTATTGAAGATTTTTTACGGGCATCCACCTCTATTTGCCGGCCGTCCTACAACCAATTAATCTGATTTTGTTTGCATTGAGAATGTGACGGATATCATTTCAAATTACCCTTCTGTACGCATTTCGATTCACCCCATGGGGTGTAAACATGTGGGGCAAGCTGAAATGCTTCAAATGTTTCGGAAAACTCATTTTTGAATGGAATTTTCAATACCATCTGGTACTAGTCACCATTTTTTTTCCTCTAGTGCAAAAATTTGGATAAAATACAGACAAATTCACGTTAAAGAAGAAGATTTAAACAATGAAAAAAAAAAATTGCTATTAATTTCATAACTAATAAAAATAAACAAAGCGTGGCGACTGTCTCTTTGCTGTTTGTAATTATGATTTTCCACGATTTTATTTTTTTCAATTGCAATCATGCAGGAGAGTGCAACATTTTTAATACCACGATATTTTTCGTTGATGTACACGATCAAAAATAGAGGCAAAAAATATTGCTTTAGATCTTAATTGAGCGTACAGGAAAAATGTGATACTGTCAAAACAGCAGTATCACATTTTTCCTGTTCGGCTATATTTTACTAAACATTTTTAACAGCTCAAAAAGTCAGTGACCTTAAACAAAATGTAAAAATTTGGAAAATACAAAAATTGTCTCTAAGTTTACACAGATTATTTTCTAATATAATTATCTAATGATACAAAATAAATCATATCAATTGGTCGGTTCCCTCCTTGTGACGGTTATTAACGGTTTACTGACTTTTTCATAAACATTTCATAACACTGTTCCAGCTGTTTGAAAGCCCAGCACTGAATTACTGATCCCAGCAAAATAATCATTGTGTGCGTTTTCATAGGATGCATTTTGGTATGTATTATACTGTTAAAATAAACAATCGCAGTGATTATTCGCATCCGCTAGCACTTACGCCTTCCATATCAACTTACCCCTCATTTCAATTTGCCCGATAAACCTTTTACCCTTGATATTATTATGGAAGAAGTACTGATAACTGTGCAGGATGAGCTGGATGGGTTTTTTAAGCTTAAGTTATTATTATTCTGGTGTATGCGGAAGATATTTGAATGACTGCCAGCAGGTACTCCCACTCACTTGCTATAAAAAATAGTTTTTCCGAATTATGAAAACATTAGATGTTATAGTGATAATTAGTACTTGTTAGTTACAAGAAGGCGTCGGGAAGAGTGTGTTTACACAGATACATAAAACCTGTCAATATTGCTTTCAGTGCGTCACAATTAGCGATTGAACAAATCGTGAGCGCTCACTCTGAGTGAACGCTCGCGAATCATTAGATCGCTGATTGTGACGCTCTGAAAGCGAAATTGACAGGTTTTATAAGTCAAACACATACTGCACGACCTCTTCTTGTAAATTACAAGTACCAATTATCACTATAACATCTAATGTTTTCATATTTCGAAAAAAAAACAATTTTTTACAGCAAGTGAGTGGAAGTAACCCTGACTGCCAGAACTGGTTAGATTGCTACCAGTACGTTAGGACTACTTGAGTGAAGTTAATAATAATTAAGATTAAGTCTTCCTTGGAAATCAACATTGCTGGGCAGAACAAAACACCACCTTCATTACTACCATGGAGAATCGATCACAGATCGGCTACATCGTAAATTAACCACCCTTAAGCGATCAATGGATGTAGTAATTGCCTCAAGGAATATTCTGGATTTTTACTATACTAGATGATGCGATGGTTGCACCAACTACGGTGTATGGTACTCAAGCAAAGATCAAGAAATTTTTCCAAAGGCCAAGTGGAGCAAATTTTAGGACAGATAAAAGCGCTATATGATCCTAATTTTGATTCTCATGTGAACAAAGATCAATAAAAAAATGGATTAGGATACTTCAGCTGAGTTACCAGAGAACATATGTCGTAGACAGGATTGAATCTAACTGTAGATTACAAAATGTTGTATGTGGGAGACCCACGTTTACCTGTGGGCATACTATAGCTTAGAACATGTGGAGGTTCAAGATAATGCCTGTGAATTATTTGATCATCGTATAGAATAGAGAGGAACTTGAAAATTCAATTCAAGAGTTACATATATAGCCGATCTCAGATTTGGACCAAGAGTAGACATCTCAGTGCATGGTGAATGTGAAACAGTTAAATTTAGTTCAATAGAAAATTGAAAAGCCAAAGCATTGTCCAACAGATTAACATGAAGCGGCATGTGGTTTGAATTTTTCGAACCCCTTCACTTCGCTTCGAATTGGATGATTTTGGATGCCATCAAACTTTCGCTGAATCAGTATTGAGTTAATTTTGCTACGTTTCAAACGACATCCTGGATCTTGTTTGCCCAAAATGTAATCTTTTTTTTTCTGAAATAAGCAACTGGTGACAAATAAGACATTACAAGACTAGCAATATGGTAGTTACATCAGACATTTATTTCACTCCAATCCTGTCGATTACACAACATATACTCTGTGATTATCTACATTCGAGACAGGAAGTACAGCTTCTTCCCGCCTTCTCTTCACACAAACACCAAAACGGAATAGTCATTCACTTCACGAACACGGAACGAAACCACATCATTGCGCGTACCTTCCGTTTCACCTCGGCCCGTGGACTTTTGCCGTTGTAGGCTGCTTCTCCTGCTGCCGGTCGTGGTGGTGGTGGTGTTCTTGGCCGGATCATTATCATAATCAGATTCCTTGGGCGATTGATGGCATTCCTGAATGATGGTGCACAAGTCTGCCCGCACCGGATATTCGACGTGAGCTGAGTCGTAAAAATGGTCCATCGCCATCGGACTGGCCCTGTCATTCGGGATTTTATGACTTTCGAGCAAGCAGCCATCGTCGTCATCGTCATTGCCGGTGGCAGTATCTCCTAGTCCTGCTAGTTGAGTTGCAAATGAATTCACGTCCACCGATGACGGATCTGCACCATCAGTTATTCCTGCTATGCCAATACCAGTCTCAGCTCGGCCTCCAGTATCATCGTCGTCAACTTGTACTTCTGCCGCGGCTTCAACTACTGTTGGGGGGTGCCTATCATTGGAAGCCGACTCACGCTTTGGTGAATTTAAATGTGCGTCATTTCTCTTGCGGCTGCCATTGAAGGTTCTCGCTACCCGCTCGTTATAGCTGTCATCTTGACCATGGGTGGTGTTGTCAGGGGTAGTGGCATGCAGGTCCGCCAGCGCGAAACGTGGATCGATCATAAACAGTCCATGCTGGTGATAGACGTCCAGTGGATTCCAGTTGAAAATGGCAACGTTGGCGAAAATGTCCTCCTGATTGCGCCTCGTGCTCAAATAATTGTCTATCACGTCTTTGGAATCGTCAGCCGAGCGATGTTGGCTGTCGGACTCCAGCTGCTCTCGCTCTTCATTGGTATTCAAGGCACATTTTTCCTCTCGAAAGCTCTCATGGCCACTATTTTCTTGTCGCTTGGTGGTGCTGGCATCATCTTCTATGTCACCCTGCTTAGAAGGCAAACTTTTCTTCCCTAAAGCGGCATTCACTCCGCCCAACACTGAGTGGCGGCTTTGGGTTTCACCAACCACTTTCGTTCCACTATTGTCATCATCGTCAGCTAATAAATTAATTAAATTATCGTCATTTATCTCGACAATTTTTGCCTCCTCACGTACGGCGGCTAACGGGAAATCCTCGGCACAAGAAGTCGGCGAATGCCGCAGGACAAGTGTCTTTGAGAACGTCAGCAAATCATCGAGTACGGCATCAATCAGGGGAACGTTCTCGACCAAATCCGGCATCGATTGGGGTTGATGCTCGATTGCTGCAGCGAATTGATCGAAAATGTCCTGATGGTGGTTTTCGTCCTCTTCCTCGCCATCCCGGGTGGGACTTGGGTAGGGCGTCGGCACCCGTGGGGTTGGTGACCGATGGTGACCCGATGGGGACTGCGGTGCAGGTGGCGGTGGGGACATATTTCCATTCTCAAAGCGCACCCAGCGGCCGTAGGATATTGATGTTGGCCGTTGTGGTGGTTCGTTTCCGGCTGGAACTGAATTAGGCTCGATTAGATCGTGTGTTGGTGATACTGGTTCAGATTTTGGCTGCTATACTTTGTGGGGTAACTGATGGGATTGGGTGAAGAGTACGGGGAATGTTTAACGTCGATACGATTGATGGGGAAAACGTGAGGTTAAATATTCGAATTTGGGTGCATGAATGCTGGTGGTTAAGTTTGAAAACATTTTACTAAAAGGTGCTTCTATTTAATGCAGGATTGATTCCACTCGCTTCACTATAAAACATGTTTTGCGGAATTGTGAACTTATTTGAAGTTTTAATGATATTGTGTACTTGTAAGTTGCAAGAAGAGGTAATAAAGTATGTATTTGACACATAAAACCTGCCAATTTTGCTTTCAGAAATTCACATGCAGCGATTTTAAGATTCACGAATGTTCACTCAGAGTGAGTGAATAAAGTCGTTATAGAGCCCTTTGATAGAAAAGTTTATACTTAAAATTGAAAACTATCACAAAATCAAAAGCACGGTGTTCTGAGAAAAAGCGTAAAAAATTGCGCTATTTTGTGAAAATCTCCAGAGAATAAAAAAGTTTGTCACGAATCAGGGATACTCTGGAATTCATGATGGCAGCTCTATAATTCAAATGGTTTCAAAGATAATAATATTAAAAATTCGTTTAATTTTTTGAATCTTGAAATAGTTTTTTCTATGTATTTGTTTTTCTTAGATTTTAGATAGTTTTCCTCAAATTTGGGAATAAATTAATCATAGGTAAATGACATTCTTTCGGACAGCATATAAGGTTCAATTTACATTGATGCATTTTCGAAAAATTAAAGTGCAGTTTTTTTTGACGCATCATTTCAGATTGCAAAAAGCACGCGTCATTCTATTCTTTTTTTTCTATTTTACACAAAATGACGCAAGCTTTTTGCAATCTGAAATGATGCGTCGAAAATAACTGCATTTGAATTTTTCGAAAATGCATCAAAGTAAATTGAACCTTAAGGTTTTGATGCATCGCACGACTGATCAGAAAATTTCTCAAAATTCGATTAGATTCGATCCCAGTTGTACCCCAATCAGAGTACTTAATAAATGTTTAGCATTTTTTAACAGAATTTGTTTTTTATCTTAAGGACTGATAGAGTATCTAGGATTGGTGAATTTCACTTACTTTTTGGGGCAAGACTTTTTTTTTTGATTCTGGCGCTTTGAGAATATTTCGTGATCTCGCGTATGAAATAGGTTCAATATTATTGGACTTTAAAAACATTCAAGATCTTGGATTTAGAGAGCTATTCTTGAAGCTGTCCATAGGAAGTTTTAATCAAGAATCCGGATGTCTGCTAATTTTCAAAATTCTGGTATCTCAACGAATCTAAAAAAAATGTGGGTATTTATTTTTCGAAATTTTACTATTATTTTACTTGAATAACTTTGAGTAAAATGCCTTTCAATTTCGTTATAATTGTTTATCTTTTGTCTGATACGCTTATTTCGTTTACTACTTGTGGACTTCCTTAGTGCCAAGTACTCAAATACATTGAGCTCTTCATAGAAGGTTCCGTCAGGGGCAGTTGTGAGTCCATCGTCAATGTATTTAAAAAAAGGCTGAGATATTAGTAATTTATCCAAGCTGAGTTCCTCGAACCCATTTTAAAGCTGCAGGAAGTAGGATAAGATAAACAAAATAGCATGAGATTTTATGCCTAACGTCCATGATGCCTTATGCATTTATGACTTACGGTCATTATGCATCGGCATCGGTATGCCTAATTTATTTATGTCGTATGCAGTGTACGCGTTTTTTCCTATCTAAACATATTCATATCGTAAGGTATCTGAAATTTTTTCGAAACCCGGAATTCGATTTTTTGAGTGCTAAAATGATGGGATATATACATTTTCTACTGTAACTATATAGTGGAGAACAGTCCATAATACATCCCTGGGGTAAAATGGCCCCACGTGGTTTATTGTTGCTGTCTCATTAATAATTCTGTGATTTAAGTACCAGAATGCTTGTTAAAGTTCTGAAATAGCAATGCTAATTGTTAAATTCATGAATTGCCAATCGGAAAGGTATGAAAACAGCATGGGTCCATTTTACTCAAGGGGTACGTTGTAGACCATCCTACCATATCCAGATTGCATATTTTCTGATGCGTATTCGCAATCCGGAAGTTACCATTTTGTATGTTGATTGATAGTCTGTTAGTCATCTTGGTTCCAAAATGATGTTGGACTTCGATTCTCAGCCCACATCATTTATCAAGCATACTTCTTAGATACCTACATTGCATGATTTCAAATGCGTATTCACTTTTCGAAAGCCATCATCATGAATTCAGGTTCACCAGTTGGGCTTGCCATCTTAAACCCTTTACTAAGAGCATTTAAATCTTGCTCGGGACCAGCTATTAGGGTGGGGCTTATTTTTCAAAATCTTTTGGGGACACGTTTTCTCATGTGGAAAATGATTACTAGGGCCAAATGAACAGCGGCACTAGCCAGGAGGCCCGGGAAAATTGCCCCCTTTGCCCCCTCATCAAATCTGGCCCTGATTATACCGGAGCAAGTATCTCCGTTCTCCCCAATAAATAATCATTAAAACAACTAAAATTGCAGCAAATATGTAATTCGTAATTTAAATATATAATAACAAATTGTTTGTAAGAAAGTATGAACATACTAAGAGGCTAGTAACATACTTATAGAGGTGCTAACCTCTCAGTATGTTCAAACTTTCTTACAAATAATTAAATTGACTGTAAGTCGCTAAACCAAATGCAAACAGCGTGACATCACCTGCTGGCCTAAAATAACATATCACGCCGTCGACAATATTTTAATAGAAGCACACCTCTAAGTGAAACCTCTCTCTATTTTCTGAATATTTGAAAAGGTTTTTCCTGAAAAACCTACGTTTTTGAGAATTTGATTGAATGAAACTCAAATTTATGTTGGTTAAATCGATCATAAATTTTAACAATCTCAAATTTGAGTTTCATTCAATCAAATTCTCAAAAACGTAGGTTTTTCAGGAAAAAACTTTTCAAATATTCGGAAAATAGAGAGAGGTTTCACTCAGTCTGTTACTCCTAGATTTGGTAAATTGTTTGTCGATTTTCCTCATATTCCATCAGATTTTTGAGGAAAAGCGAGGCAATTTTTACTCACTCTATGAGTAACCTACGTTTTTGTGATCAAAAACCACGTACACTTTCCCACAATATGGAGACGCATTATTGTTTGTGCTCACTAAGTGTGTGGATAATTTCCCATTTCTGTGACTTCTAGTCAATACATAATATTCAATATCCAGGGTCGATATTGATTGTTATGTATTGCCTGGAATTCACTCCAAAAAGGAATAATGTTCGTACCATCCATCCATCAGTAAGCCAATTGGAAAAAAATAACGCATCAGCACGGACGCCCCCTCTGTCATCTGATGCGTCAAACGTCCCCATATGGACACCATTCTGTCAAATTCGAGTATTTTTCACCACGTTTTCCACGAACCCAACCGGCAAATGACAAGCGAATCGTAAAGTTTGCTCTGGCTTTGATTCGCTATGTGATAAGGTGACGGACAGCGTGTGATGGTGGTCTGTGATGGAACGGACAAAATCAACCTACCAATTCTCGGTGTGTCATCATAATTTTCCACCTGGTTTGCCTTTCGCTGCTGTGGCGATTTGGACGTTTCGCTTTCCGCCAGCCCGTCGACCTCTTTCAACGTTTCACTGCTGGTCACCGAACAGCGGTGCTGGCATTCGAGGCATAAGGTGCTTGCCGTACTGGTGCTGCTGCTGCCATCTGATGTCCCACTTGGTGACCGTTTCTTACACGGCCTGTGATGGCAGCAGCAATTTTGGCGCTTGTGAAAATCACCACCCCACAGGTCGAATCGCTGAAATTCCTCCGACCGTGCATCGTATGGGCCGAAAATATACTCTCCGTCGGTGAAACTGATGTACCGGGTGCTATTTTTGGATTCCGGAGGTGGTGGGGACGGCGGTGCCGGATCACCGGTAGTGAAGTTGCTGCATTTAGGAGACGAATGACGCTCGGCGCCCAGAAATGCGTCGATTGATTTGTGCAGCGGATCGAAATTTTGCACTCCGCTGGCCGCCCGGTGGAATCTGTTGACCATCAGACTGTCGCTGGTGCCTCGAGGGTCAACACTAACCGTGGTGTCACTCCGTAGTTTTCTACGCAGCTGTTGTTGCTGTTGGTCATCGCTTGAATTACATGCAATATTTACATTTTCGCTCAAAAATTTATCATCCGTTAAATTTGTTTTAAAATAATCATCAGTACGGCGCATTTGCTGGTAGTGGCTGGTGTCAGTCGCTGCAGCACGATTATCGTCCCATCGTTCGAAAGTGGGACAAACATCAGCAGTGCTTGATGGCGATGGGACCGTTGAAGTTGAATCCTGACGACAGCTTTGGGATATTGTCGGATTGTCGGCCTTGCATGGTGTGCTGCATTGCTGGGCACTGGTGGTGGACGTTGGGTTGCGGTTATCGCAGATTTGCGCTGTAATGGGGCAATTTCAGTTTAATTGAAATGGTGATAGCCCGAACGGTTGGATTTCCGGCAAACGGACAACAATAACACAGACGGAAAACTGACATCAAATTGGGTAATGGGAGTTGTTTCCCTTCGCTAGATGGATGCAGATATAGTTTTGGTTGAGTGGTGCTTCGTATTTGTAAAAGCTCGTTACTGAATAATTCGGTTTCGTTTATCCTGATCATTCAGCTGGTCAAATATCAGCTTCAAAATGTTGCTAAATAGTCCAGAACCAAGAATTGAGAACTGACCCGGTGTATTAATTTATCTTATAAGCTGGGAGTTCTGGCACGACACATTGGAAGATATACATGGTCTAGCTAGAGTCAGTTTCTTCGCATCGGTGATTGACACTTACACGGAGAAACAGTAACTAAGAGTAAGGAAGAAGGTAAGATTGATATGGGTGTAATAAAATATCCTTGCAGATGAATACGAAAGCTTTCTGAACGTGCATCTTTCAACGATGTAAATTTATTAAATTAAAAATCTGGACCTTTGTATGAATGCTTGAAGTTGGGAATCCCTTACAAATAGAGAAGAAGGTTTTAAGATTAAGATAAGGTTCATCGATAAATATTTCCAACAATTAATTTTATCCCAAATAAATGAGTCAGGAGGACATTCTAAACTGATATAATTGATAGGGAATAGGTGACTAATAATGTTCTATTTCCGAATTTATTCATAGAAACACTGTGATGGACACTTTTCCTGTAACCTAGTAAGTAAATGAACATTTCAAAAATGGTTATCTGAGGCATCACTTCCGATTGGAAGAAAATTTCGTCGTTTTGTGTTATGTCGCACAAATGAAAAACATCGACGAGAGTTTTCTGCAATCTCATACTCACTAGGTCACATTCACCTAAGTGCTATCAATCCTACTTTCCTTGAGAAAAAAGTGATTTTCGTCTGGTTTTAGGTTATTCATTACAGGGGAAACTGCTTCAATTTGATCAAATGGCAAAGTGTGGGTGAATCAGTTCGTACAAACAATTGAAAAGAGCCTATCAAATTTTCCACTCAAAACTTGTAATGGCCTTTTCGCTTGATTCGAAGCTCGCCAATGCAAACCAATAACATCAACGACTGGGGAAATTTCCCCCCTTTTCGATAGTTTTGTTGGTTTGTGTAGGCGAGCATAAGTTTGTACGAAAAGTTATTGTTGGACGTGAAATATAAATAAATCCCTTTGGGCATAACATATAATAAGGTGAACCTCTGCCGCCTAGATTTCGTTCTTTTTTGTGTATTAATTTATTTATACAGGCTCAATCGAACAAACTTCACAGAGCCAAGCTATCACTTACGTTTTACATAATTAATGTCTTAAATCTAGAGTTAAAGAAATTGAACCGATTACACGCGGTCGTCTCGAGTAGATTTCTTTCTGATAAATCTCATAATCACTTCGAAACTTCAAGAACACTAATATCCGATCTGAAACATGTAAAAAGGAATCCGTTGCGTAGCTTTTGCAGTATGCCATCCAGCCCAGTATTCTCTTAACCCTCCAGCGCCCATTGTAAAAAAAAAAAAAAAACGATGAAATTGGTTGAAAATAAATGCTACATTTATGTACTTTAATTTGCTTTGGTGTGGACCGGATTGGATCTGAGTGGTATTCTTAAGTCGGCTCCAGCCAAAAGAGTAAATTTCTTTTATGGTTTTTTTTTATTTAGACGCATTTTAGTGGTCCTAATAACCTCATAAATAGCATGGTATGAATAGAAATGAGTTTACTATTACGGTTTCCTTATGGGCGCTGGAGGGTCAGTTCGTTTGTCATATGAGCTAATGAATTGTTTTCTAAAATTAGCATTCTGAAACTGTGAGATTTGGAATATCTTATACATGAAAGAAGGTAAAAAGTGGAATCTTCAAAATTAATAAATGATTTACGGAAGCTAGAAGCACAATAATGGACAAATAATCGTATGAACAAATCGTCGAATAGAGCAAATTTCATTCTAACTTTTGTCATTTCATGTTTCATTCGACCTTTTGTCCAGGTCATTAATAACCTGGAACTTAGTAAATTTTTCAAGTTTTGTTAATCATGGGACTTGTAAAAGTTATGAAGTATTCTATGAATTGGAAACTAATTTAAGACCTGGAGTTTTACTAAATCTAGTTGATTCTGGGACTGATTCCAGGAATTAAAAATTAGTATATCTGGTATTTAATGATTTTTTTTATAGAGATTCATTGAGCTACATTTTTTTTTATAATAGACCCAACACACCAAGATCAATCATGACTTGTCCGGATATGATATTTAAACTCGTGACTTTGGCGTAAGAGGTATGGATATTTACCAGTACGCCGGGGCCATCAACCTTGAATATTAAAGTTTCTGGGTCTTTAATTATTACATTAAAAATTCTGGGTATAAGAAAAATTTCGATCTAACCTTAAGATAATTTCAGATATTCTTTGTTTATATATGTGCTCAAGGCCTCATCAAGTGGTATTTTTTCAATTCATTTATATGGAAGGCTCAATCTCGTTAGCTGTACGGGGCCATTATTTCATTGTTTGTAGTTTACTACTACGTCTATTATGGGTGGACTGATTACTCACGGTTCATTTGAGGTTTGAATTGGTAACATTTTTGAAGGAAGGATCAGGTTAGGAGCGGGGCCTCCCTTAGCTCAGTCGGTAAAGGTGCAGCTACAAAGCAAGACCATGCTGGAGATGGCTGGGTTCGATTCCCGGTCCGGTCTAGGAATTTTTCGGGTTGGAAAATTTCTTGACTTCCCTGGGCATAGAGTAAGATTGTACTTGCCACACAATTATACCAATGCAAAAATGGTACAGGCATCGAAAGCACTCAATTAATAACTGTGAAAGTGCATCTAGAACACTAAGTTAAGAGCACACAATAAGCTAATATGCGATATGCAATAAGCTTGAAATGCGAAGAAGAAGAATCAGGTTAGGAGCATGGAAATGGGGTATCGTTGTCTCATCAGAGAGTGGTCACTAGTACTATAGCGGTCCGGTGTTTGAGCGGCTGTCGATGGTGGTGACAAGGCAAACCCAAACTAATGAAAGGAAGAAAACACAGAGGCAATAAATTCTTATACTAGACATTTGAAGGGACACATAAATCGACTGCATATAGCAGAGACCTCGAGTACTCAACACGTCTCTGATAGGAATATCGTGTTGCCTTCCTTGGTCCTCAAGGGTATTCAAAAGGTGCTCTCTGGCGGTGTCTTTATCCGCACTTTTCCCATTGATCGATGTCATCGTAACCGTTTATTCAGTGCAGATGCGCATCTAGCGAGTAGTGGTTAAGTCACATAAGTCAAACGTCTACTCATCACGCGGATGAAGTTACGACTTTCGTTCAAACCTTTAAACCACACTCTTGAATAAACAGCAAGTGGTAGGGAAAATGACGGCTTCGGCATGGCAGACTATTTTCGGCAACCCAAATTGAATCGCTAATTTCATTGGATTTTCTCACGTAAACACTTCTCTGAATGCATTCAAACAATTCTTTAGGCTTTCAGCTTCAATTTGAATAAGTTTTTACCACTGAGAAAAAGCAATCTAGCAGGGTTTTCCTGAAATGAAACACACGCACTACAAAATGCTGCTGATTTCAAGTTGACGATGAAAGCACAGCTGTTTTACACGCAGCTCAAATAGAAAGGTTGGCGAATAAAAAGGTGTTGCCCACAATAGTCGACCGGAAGGAATTCAACTTTGAGATCTGTGTTAGGGAAATCGCTTTACGGTGATAATTTTAACTATCATAGCAGCAGTTGCACATTCGTGCAATTTTCATAAGTTACATTTTGAAAAATGATGCAGTCTTAAATTTAGCAGATGCGTAGGAATATTTCTGATCGATTGGTGATAAAATTATCGAAATTGGTCCAGGGACAGCTGAGTTATTAACGTTCAAAATCTTTCATAATTGTTGTTCCATTTTTGGTTTTCACAAAGTGTACCCCCATATAGAAATCACAGACGTAGTCCTACGTCAAAATTACAAGAATAAGTGGATTAGCGAATTAGTATGGAAACGCTCATTAGTGTTGTTCCAATTATTCGCACACTGGAGGAACACTGTACATGTTAACTATTAAATATTGTCTAAACTCTTATCCATTTTGAATATGTACCTCGTTCTTCTAATTTGATTTCTAATTTTTTTTTACAAGTCATAAGCATCGTGTATCACCTTGTTCCATTAGACTCCACACAACGCAATTCAAATGAGTTTCATGCTCCATCACGAGTCCATGCATTTGTATTATAAACCCAAACAATGCTCAAGCAACCGCAAACATAATCCTTCAGAAAATTCGAACACTTCATTTCGAGGCTCCTCTCTGTTCCCATCGAGGAAAATCCAGCTGGACTCGTTCGCCACTGTTTCCCCATTGGGAGGTGTCGTTGCAAATTAAAATCAACACATTTCCGAGTAATTTAGCGAATAAAAATAAGAGAAATTTAACACAGTACAATCCCCCTCACCCCAACACATCAGGCACTCGCAGGAGATGAATAAGAGGAAAAGAGTTTGCATTATTTTAATTACAATCGCCACTCTCCGAAATGGTGAATTGAAGTGCATCGCCGACCACCGTTCATCCTGTCCCCACTGCTGGCCTTCGGACGGATTATTGTCCCCTCACACAAGCGAAGCCCGGTCGGTCAGAGTTGAGCCCAGTGTTTACTCGCTGTGGCAATTGAGAGGCGGTTTTTTTATGAGCTCGCACCTCACCGCGTCACCATCGCAGTGAATCGCATCAGACCGGGTTCGGTTGTTAGGTACCCACTCTGGTCGGTTTTAATTTCTCTGAAGTACTGAAGTGGGCATTCGAGGGGATCCGGGTTCTTTTTTTTCCCTTCCTTGTTTGCAAAAAATCCATTTCAGTGTTATTTTTCACTATTACCAGCCCTGGATAGTGATTTATTTGCCGGCAAACTTTTGCATCATC